GGCCCGGCAGGCGCTCGGGCGGGCAGCCCCGGCGGCGGCGGGGGCCTGCGGAAGGGCGGGGCCTGCGAGGGGGCGAGGCCGGGCGGAGCCCTGTGCGCAAGGCGGGCGGAGGGGTCGGGGCTGCCCGCGGTGCGGGAGGAGCTCCACGGCGGCCGCAGCAGCCGCGCCCGGGAGCCTTCCGCCCTGCGGCCTGCCGGGCAACGTTCTTCTCTCCTTGGCGACGGGCGGCCCTCGGCGGTACATACACGGGGATCCACGCGCCGCTGCCCTTCCTGGGAAACTACCGGTCACCCTCTCGGGGCCCACCCGCCTCCCGCCCGGCACACGGACTGGAGAAGCCTTCAGCTGCGGCCAGCGCCGACAGCCGCGGGTCTTTGTGCAGGTGGCGCTGGCCGGGCACAGCCCCTGCTCCTTACAGCCCTCAGGAGCCCTTTCCTTCAGGGAACAGCGCCCGCGGAGCTCATGGCGATGGCGCAGTGCCCAGCATCGCTCCGCAGGGCTGCCTTTGCTGTCCAGTGCCACTGAACACAGCACACCTCACATGCTCTGCTGCTGCTGCCCGAAGGGCACAGACACACAGGGACACCCCGCAGGATGGCTGTCCCACTGCTCTGGCAGTTGTACTCCATCTAACAAGGTTTCGTGCCTGCTGCAGACAAGTTGCCACAGACTTTCCTATTGCCTAAGCTCCATTTTTACCTCTTCCAGTCACACGCACAGATAACCCCCCATAATAGCACAGCGTGTCTCAGGCCAAGAGAAGCAATAACCCTCAGAAACCTTTCCTAGATAGTGCTGTCTGACCATAAATCATGGCTGGAGAACAGTCACACGACTATTGTGCCGCAGCCACTGCACAGCTCTGCAGGAGGAATCACCGAGTCACCAAAGCAGACCCCTGCGAGGCCAAGGAACTGCACGATAGCCATTTCTAAAATTCATATTCTGTCCTTGCTTGGATTATGACATGATCTCAAATTCCTCAAGAAAGTAAAATTCATTTACAAATAAAAAATATATTTGTGTGATATGAAAAATACATAATAGCACAATTCATTTTCCAGAACACCTGGTACAACAGTAATTTTCCAGGATATTAAGAAGAGAGCAGATTAGCAGCAAGATCCAACATAATGCCAGTCAGTACCTGCTTGTTATAGCAAAAGATAAGCAACAGATTTTTTTGGTGTGTGTGCAAGTCCAATGCTTTCACATCAAAAGACCCAAGAGATGTTTCATTCTGACAGTTTTAAGTAAGAGAGTTTGGCATTGCACAGATAAATATGTGCTGATGAATCAAGAAGGAAAGCCACACTAAGAACATAAATAACAGTAGGAAAAGAAACTCAGTGTGTCTTACTGTACATGGAAACACACATTAGGAATAAACAGAGATCTGATTAAGTAAAAACAGATTGTGGAATAGGTTGCTCATTATTTAAATACATGCATTTATTATTCATACCAGTACTATAAATCTATTCTGAATAAAAGTTCAGTTGCTTATAGGACACATCAGCATTCTGCCTTTTATTTTCCCACTTTAAAGATTAATATTTTAGTAATGGTTTGGCTTTATTTTTAGCAGTCTAGGAAAGCAATTACTGCCCCGCCCTGAGCAAAAAAAGCAATGAATCACTTGCTGTGTGAGACAAGGCAGAAGCAATAATCTGAGAGAGACAACAGCACACAAACTCCTATGCATTACAGGCTTCTGTAGCAGCAGCCTCTGCCTGCCAGTGTTTTTTACTCACTCTTGCCCTGCCCCTGCCTCATACAACCATGCCTTATTCCTCTCAGTATATCTGCTAAAGCTCAGAGCACCAAAAAGGCACCGCTTCAGGCCTGCAATAGTGAGCCTTCTGAATTACTCTGGACCTTTCTTCTTAGTAATTTCCTCATACCGTTTAGTGCACACACCTCCTGTGTAGGTGCACTTCCTCTGAATGGGCTGGCTTTCTATTGAAATTCAGCAGCTCTCAGGTTTTGGGGCCAGTTGCAGTTGAACTGTTACCATTTTGTATGAATACAGCTGTATTTATGTATAACTGACATCAGAGTCACGTGTTTTACTGGTACCGCTTGGAGAAAAACAACCCACAGGTCACTGGCTGTAAGTTTACTGCCATTTGAACACGAACTCTGCTTCTCTTTCCACAGTTTATCATCACAATTGTATTAATATTACTCACACATGTAGTATGTGTGAGCAACAAAAAGAGAGGAAGTGCCTACAGTATGTACCAGTGTCCACCACACAGTTCAGGTAACTTACGTTCACTTCTGACACGAGCCTGAAGTCATGGTTTGCTCTCCCCTCTGATGCAGATCTTCAGTTGATGATTCAGTGGAGACGCCTTACAAAAGGCCTAGCAATGAACAGCTGCCTCATTCTGAAACAAGCTGATTTAGGGCATATAGCAGAGATTAAGAAAGTGTAACCAGCAGGGAAAGGGTGGAAAATAGTTGAAACTACGAAGAAACAAATTCAGAACAAACAAAGCCAAGGGTTTTTTCCATGAAGGAGTGCAATCCAGTGGGATTACCTGACACAAGAAGCTAAATGTTTATATGGGCTCCAGGGCAAACTAGACAGGCTTGTGGAAGAGAAATCCAGCAAGGATTACTAATTACCAATCCATTCAAGAATTACATATGGCTGTATGGCCTGTTTGGAGTCAGAAAATCCCTGAGGTGCAAATGGAAGTGTCATTTAAGTTTATCCTGTTCTTAGACTGTTTCTTATAGGGGTGTGCTGCCTAAATAATTGCTTACTTCATCATCCCGGAGGCAGGGATATTAGATTGTCTAATCTAATATTCTAAACCTTTTGTTTGATACCTTACAACTGCCTTTATATGCAACCTAGGCCTCTGGAAAGCCCTAAGAGTGCAACCAGCAGAGTCCCACACTGCCAGAATCCTATAGACTGACACACTTAATGCCTTTCCATTTTTTTCCTCTGCAGTTTTAGGTAACCTTCTTTCATTTTAGCTTAAACTACTAGGAAGAAGTTTAACTTAAACCAGATTCTAAGACCCAAACAGGACCAAACAGAGCTAACACATTTAAATAAGCTGACCAAGATGACACCTTAGCTCAGAGGAACAGCAGCTAACATTAACAAGTGATGCTAGGGCTGGGAAAGCGCCATGGTTTAACAAAGCCGCGCTTTCCATTAGGGCCAGCCCACAGGCTGCGGGGGTGGGGCCCTGTGCAGCCTAGCCAATCAGCTGCCGGGCTTTGAAGAGCCAATTAGCTGCTGGGCTTTGAAGAGCCAATCAGCTGCCGGGCTTTGAAGATTGACACCCGGTTAAAAGAGGTGAACACACCTCTGTGGAAAAGCGCCTTTTAAAAATGAACAAAGCCCGGGAAAAGCTTTTGGCTTCTGGCTTTGGAACAGGCCGGGCCCACATGGCCAGGCCGGCACGCAGCTCGGCTGTGACTTCTGCCGCTGCCGGGCCATGCCACCCGGACTGTCCCAGCACCGTGGGCAACCACATGGCGTGGAGCGGCCCTGAGGCCGGGACTGCTCAGCTGGGATCCATGCGGCCTTGGCAGTGCCGTGCAGCCAGAGCCACACCGCATGGCCACGGCTATTTCAGCATGGCTCGCAAATGAACTTGGTTTACCGGGGGCCAGTGCTGGGAGTGGCCCCATGGCTGGCGCCGAGGGCAGCCCCGAGGCCAAGAGCTGCCGGGCCCGGGAGCGGACACCGCCATCCCAGACCAGGAGCGGCCACCGCCATCCCAGACCAGGAGCGGCCACGTGGCTGGGACTGTGTGGCCGAAATCGGCGCAACTGCAGCGGTGCCGTGCGCCCACGGCTGTCTCAGCATGACTCGCAATGCACTTTGTTTGCTTAGCCGCTTTTAACCAGCTGCACTGCAGACAGAAGGACAAAAGCAGTGACAGCGGGTTATTTCTTTCTTCCAGTGCCCCGCATGAAAGAAAGGCGCTGTGGTGATGCCAGCAGCCAGCGCAGCTTGGGCAGTGCTGGCAGAGACCATGTGATCAGCAGCGACAGACACAGCCATTCCTGAACTGTGGAGCCTGGACAAAATCAGCCTCTAAATGTTGCAGGACTCTGTACTGTTTTAATTGATAAAGCTTGAGAACAAATGAACCTATGAACACTAATTCTCTCCTGAGTCAGGAAAAGGAAGGGGTGAAGACACGTAGAGAAAATAACATGGGACGCTGTTGTTGACAGTAAAGAAGGAGTCAAATTCTAGATGGGAGGGGATTGAGGAGATGCCTCAGTCTTGGGCTGAAATTTTTTTTGTAAGGCTATGGTGAAGGTATATTTGATATATCAAACTTTGTTTTTTCCCTGTAATTCATGGAATGCATTGGGGAGATGTAATATTCTAACTACAGCCATGAGCAGAACCATCAGTGTTGAAATAAGCAGATGTTGCAGTAGCTGTGGTCCAATGAAAAGTTTGAACAGAGAGAAATGAGAAACCTTGCCCTAGGAGTAGAAGAAGAAAATCTCTGTTCCCAGAGATGGATTAAAAGAACTTTTGTTTTTATGCTAGAACAGCTCATCCTTAAAAATAGCACCCCAATAATTGACATGGCCCATGAATGCAGCTGTGGGAAGGCTGCAGAAAAGATGGGAGGGACTTCACAACTGCAGATTTCCAGGCAGCTGGTATTCATGGAAATTAAAAGCCAGGAGAGAATTGTTTACTGTGGAGAAGTCTCCATGGCATTGCAAGAGAGACTCCCCTCCCTAAGAAAAATTAAGAAAAACTGTTTTAGAGGTGGTAAACTGACTGAAAGTCCCAAGTTTTGTCTCTTCACATCATTGGGAAAGAAAAGAGGGTGTGGAGGGAGGAGAAGTGTTCTGAAGGTTTATTCTGATTTTCTTATAATTCTTCTTTTAATTCTGTTAATAAAGTTTTCTTTATACCCTTTAAAGTTTT